GAATTGGACCGCATTTCCTCTTCCATCATACGAAGCACGCTGTATGCTTATCACCTTACAAACACTCAAAGAACGCCGTGCATTTGCAATGTTCTTCTGCATCATTTCATTATTTCACATCGCATAGAATCACCAGAAATACTTTCACAATTAAACTTCTACACACCCAGTCGGCATCTAAGAACACGAAAATTATTCTCAGAAAGATCACCAAAAACTTTTCATTCTTGATATATGTATTGTGTTGTGTGTTGATCTATGCAGGATCAGATTCAAAGTACATATCATGAGCAGTGTTGGCAAAATCATCAATCAAATTATATTTTCCCGCTCTCATACGCTCTCAATATCACGCCTGATACTGGAACAAAATATCACGCTTGATATTGATTTTACAAGCTCCTTTGATATTGCGAGACTATTCACAACGAGCAAAAATCAAGCGGAGAGTTGACTAGACACAAAAATCATTACGTTGCACATCGTTTTCTTAGAAAGAGAAAGTATAGTAAGTTTGCTATCTCTTTTTACTGTTCACCGATGACAGACAAGAAATGACTGCTGCCAGCCGTTATGGAAATTTCGTTTGCGTTCGGGTGTAAAGCAAAAATCATTAAACTCAATCTCACCACAGTTTGTTGCGATTTTTTTTTTTCCTTTGGTTTGTTTTTTCCGTCGATCTTGTTTTCCGTGCTGAGCACCAATGCTACCGACGTGCCAGGAAGGCAGCTCCCACACCTGGACCCTACCTATCGACCCATCAACTCATGAACCGGGGACCAACGGCTTTACTTCCCATCCGAAGGAAGGCGTGATCAGAGATGTTATGCCTCAGAACATCCCGGCGGCGCCGAATGGGATTGAACCCATTTGTTAAGATTTGCAGCTGGTGAGTTTAGTTAGCTTGATATTCCGAGCTGCGATATCACAGCTTACAAAATCAACCGCAGCTGTTGGGTAGAGCGCTACTTCGTCGTAATCGCCCATTTCCGTTCTATCGATCAGAAAAGATCAATAATATCAATGATTTCACCGTGCACAAATCAATAATAGGTTTGTTCCGATGCGTTAGTTCATTAGCTACAACATAAATCCTATAAAAGCGCATTGTATGAATATTTACGCTCATTGTTCTCAAAACAAAAGAAGCGCTCCTAGCGAATCCCCTTTTTCTACGTTTATCCGTAGGGCGAAGAAAATCTAATGGCGTTTCAATACGTTAGGACGGAATTGAAACTCGTAGAACGAATTTAGAATCCAGAAGCAGTGTTAGATATTAGACAATATCTCAACAATTTGTGACTCTTTATCAAATCCAACGGTACGTATGAAAAGGTGAATAAATTTGCAAGTCATCTTTGACAGAAATATTCCATTTTTTGTTTAAACTCGTTCAGAAAAGAGAGGTAAAGCGCGGGTTGTGCTTAGTAGGACGGAAATTAGATCAAAAACTTACGGGAGCGGAGATGTTTCGGACTTTCCTACAGCGAACTCGTTGTACTGTGGTTGAGTATGGCTTTAAGCTATAATTTAATAGCATATAGTTCATGTTCTAAATGGTTTACAAGGGTGTTTACTTACAATATAAGTCTTCCACGTGTACGTTCTCCGTCGTATCGTAACAATGTATGTAGGTCTTTGTAGTAGAATTATGTGGAAAGAAAGAAATAAACGTATAATTTCACTACGAATAATATGTGCTTAAGATTTTAACGTGTTAGCTGGATCACTTGTACTGTTTTGTGTTTGGTTCTATCGTTACCCTACCATGTCATTGTCGTTGTCTGTCAAGGAATGTCACTTTGCTCGCATTGATCCCTGCGGGAAAGTGCTGGCCCGTGTTGCCAACACCTATGCTTGTTGATTTTGTCTACGAAAATCAAGCGTGATCTTGAGCATTGGTGAGATTTGATTTTTTGATATTTTCCCAACACTGATCATGAGTTTAAAGCAGAAATGATTTTTCGGTGCTGTGAGTGTGAGCGCGTAAATATGTATGAGAATTTCAAGCGTAAATTTTGTTTTCCGCATTTGCAAGCAGGTTTATTCTCACAGGGAAGCTCAATTGACGAGATCTCAGAATGATTTTCTGAACACTAGCCAGTTGCACCAACACCAGGTACAAAAGGTTTTATTTACTTGAACAACTTTGCTCAAGACAGCAACCATCTATCTAGTCATGATGTTAAGTTAATCAAGTAATTTGAAATCAAATGTCTCATCAGTGCCACATGAAGAGTTAATTCTGACCGAATTACTCATTGACTGAGTCAAATTATTATGATTTTTCTCAAATTGTATGTATGTATGTATGTAAGTAGCCACCATCCTAGCTTGGGTCTTGCGGCTCCACTCAACAGCAAGAACGAATTTCGTCATCATTCTGAATTCAACATACTGCTGTATGAAGGGCCAAAAGGGTTGGGTGGGCCTGTAAGCAGAGACGCTTACGCGAAACCCGCGGGAATAAGAGAATATTATTCCAACAATATGATCCCACAAAACGAATAACGAAATTCGCAATACATGTTAAGCTTTCCATGAAATGGGTTGTTTAAGAAGTGCGCGTCAAATTCATTGCAACCGTTGAAGTAAAATGTAACTATCTAAAATGACAGTAAACATTCCCTCCTAGACTCTCGTTGGCACTCCACTCCATTGTCCAGTTACAACTGAATGATGCCCAGATGCTCCCACCCGTCCCAGCATTTATTGTAATTTACATTATAAATTTATATATAATCATGTAATATATAATGTATATAAAATATGTACTAAAATGAAAAATATAATAAAAAATAAAGATGTTTTACAAAATACAAATAACCTAGATTATTGGGTCCTATGCACACACTTTTTGTTTTATGTGCCATGAAATGACATAATGCATCATTGTATGTTTTGAAAATATAATACTAAAGTATTGAATCAATAGACCAAAAATCGAGGTTATCTGGACATGGGACACTATATTTACAAAGATACTACCAAACCGACCATCAAACGCACTGCCCACAAAAGCAGACACGTCCCCTCGAAAATGTAATCGAGAAATGTATAAGAACAATCACCGACGGACATCGATATCGCAGGATATCGCAGGATATCGCAGGATATCGCACCCATTCAAACACAAATGGGCCGGGACCAACCATTCTACTTCTCTTCCGAAGGAAGACGTGACTCAGAAAAACCCACCGACCTCGGCTGGGATTGAACCCAGACCTATTGGGGTGAGAAATCAGTCACGCTTACCACTACACCACCGGCGCCGGCTATTCTCTATTTTATTTTTTATAATTTTGTACAAAAAATGTATGCATGGGAAATCGATTTCAAACGGAATACGGAACAGGGGTGATTGTTTTACCTTTCCATTCAATTCGTTGCTGCATTGAACGCACTAGATTCATGCTCCAACCTCGGACATCCTTCCACAATGCCAAGTTCATTGCATCGAGGAAGCGTTTACCGCTCATCACGATCCACGAGAAAAGACCTGCGAACATGACTCCCATTGAAGAGCATAAAAAATACCAATTTTAAATCATTCTCATCAACCATCAGCGGCACATACTTCCACTGCCACCTGATCTTTATCTCAAGTGAGCGAATTGGACTCGTCCTCTCAACACTAGGAAATGCGCATCTTCCAATAGAAATAAAAACAGCCATAAACTGTCGATGCCTCACCTGTATCACCAAGTCTGAATTCCCCAAGAGCCACAAAATCAAGTTTATTTAGTTCGTGTAAAGTGCGCGGCTTAGATAGGAAGCTATCAATCATCGAACCTCCTCAAACAACCTCCCGGAGCAAACCAGGCAACCGCCATAAAATCGTGATGCTTGAATTACTCCAGTCGCACCGCATTTGCCGTCTACAGTGAATGCCCAATACGCTTTTTTCCCCATCTCAACAGCACTATAAAGATGCAATCTACGAAGCAGTTCGTCTACAGGCTCACGAAATCATTCAATTGCACGTCGTCTGCGTGCCATCGATTTGTTTCAAGTGGGGACAAACCTAACTAGACACATTGTGCTGAGAAGCTCATTTCAGAATCAATTGAATTCTATTTGTCAAAACTTGAAATGTCACCCTCGTTGAGGATCGTGGTGTCTATTCGATGAATCATTCCCGGTGGTCTGCTCGTTCAGTCTGGGGTCTAATTGAATCCAAGGGGAGCAGCAATAAATCCTAAAATAAGAAACACGCGCGAGAGCTCAGCGAGCCGGCACACTTCCAATCGGAAAAGTTCATCGAACCAAAATTAAACCCCGGGCTGTTTGGATCGGTCGGAGCATAACAAAAAGGAAAAAAAGCAAACAAACAATAACTACACAACATTATAGAGCTCGTGCGATAAAGACGTATTATTAATGACTGTCCAACTTGCCAAATGAGACATATGTATACTCAAATATCAAGGTCAGCGCGACGGCGGTCGGAGACTTGAACCTGAAATGAAGATCATCTGGTGGAGTATGAAAACAAAGAGTATACATTTGCCATCACCTTTAAAGTATCGACTGTGTGTTGATGGTTGAGGATTTCCGATTTGAAATGTTGTTGAATGATCTAGGGTAAGTGAGCCAGTTTTTGGCCTAAGTGGTTCTCTGATTGGCCATATATTAGATTTCTCACCCCAATGGGTCTGAGTTCAATCCCAGCCGAGGTCGGTGGGATTTTTTGAGCCATAGAATCTCTGATCACGGGAAGTAAAGCCGATGGTCTTCGGTTCATGAGTTGATGGGTCGATAGGTAGGGTCCAGGTGTGGGAGTTGCCTCTAATCAAGGAAAAAAATGTACGTGAAAATTTAATTCAAATTTGATTTATGTTCTAAGCCAAAAAACTGGAGCACTAGTACCAAAAGTGGCAAACTTACCTTAGTTTTTGTTTTGTTTTGCTAAGTAAACCATTATTTAAGGCACCAATTAAGATGAAAGATACCCGATCTTTAAGTTAATTCTTCTTCTTCTTTTGTATTTTTATCTACAGATGAACATGCTGAAAATATTACTGACAGGTGCGCTGCTGGCAATGGATGTTCTATGTGAACATTTGGTCGAATTTATGTCAAACTATCAGAGCAACTCACAGGTGAGGAAAACATATGATGATAAGTTCTTAGAGTAAAGTAGGGCAAGAGTACGTACTTATTTTTGAAATTCATGTATACTTTTCCCCATAACATCAAATTTAAGTTTTATAACCATGACTATTTGAACACAATCTTTCATGGCTAGCCATTTGAACAATCATGACATTTTTCATAAATTGCTGATAAAATAAAAGGGTTCCAAATGCGTACTTTTGCCCCACTAGTCCAGTATTTTAATAAATGTTTTACAAACGATTATTTTAATTAGATGAATGCTTTCAAAATCAATAACCATTAGCTCGTCGTCATCATAATTGTATGCATTCATCTGTTTTATCTGCCCACGGGTTTTTTAAGTAAGTATTTTTTAATGGTGGAAATAAGCATAATTAATATAATTGGTACTATTATTGCACTAAATCTAATCTAATCTAATCTAATCTAATCTAATCTAATACAAACGCAGCCAGTACGAGAAAACATCCTGGAAAATAATTAGGTTAGATAAAGCCTAATAATTTTTCTTGTCAACATTGTTGATTGCAGCATATCTTTGATATGACACAAACATCAAAACGGCAAGGCCTAATGCGTTGCATTTGCCGCAGAGATGATTCTGTGAAATGATTCTAGTTTTTTTTTTTTGTGGAACACCTCAAAAGCTCTTTTGAGCCCCCTGGTAGTGGACGCTTCTTAAACTACAAGCAACTAAAAACAATAATAATACAATCAAATAAACACATACTTCATTGGTGTGTGCACGAAAGTGATGAACACTAAACAAAAAGTAACTAAGGAATGGATGCCCAGTGGAACTTTGTTCCTTTTAAGGGATCCCAGTAACACGAAGAGAAAAATCAATATTTTTATATGATTACATTTACTATTCAACAATATTTCAGATTTTTTTTTCCGTGGAGAATGGAATAACAAATATTTAGTTTGCACCTAATTTAAAGATAATAAATTTCATTTAATGAACCACATGTGAATTCGCAAATCATGAGTCATGCTGGAAATAATGGGAGAAGTATCTTGACTTGGATAGAAGATTGCCCGAGCAAAGTAAAATATCAAATTGATAACAAGTTCTATTACCCGGTTATCACTTTTTGATAACTGAATATGTTATCATTATGTTTGAATTAACAGTCAACATAACAAACATGATAACAAAAAATTGCTCGTTGGATATCACAAAAAAAACTAATTTTGTTATCATTGATGATATATTGATAACAAATTCTGTAAGCCATACAAATTTATTTCATAAATTTCAAATCATGATATCAAAGCCTTACGCTGATAACTGAAATATGATCAGGGATTAAATGCACTATTTTTTATTGTTTCAATGCGAATAATATTTAAAGTTTTGAACTAACCTTGCATCGTTAATAAATATGTAGTGAATTTTTCATGATAACAACTGATAACAAAATTGATCAAGACTGATAACTAAATAAGTTATGCAATAATAACTGAAAACAAAATGATATCTGGGATAACAAAACTTGTTATCTAGATGATATCGGGTTGTTATTCTACTTTGCTCGGGTGCTGTATTATCAGCGAACAGCCTTGGTATTCTTGTAAGAGGCAGATTCCCAAGATCGTTTATGTAAGTTAGGAATAAAAGAGGTCCAATGTAACTGCCTTGAGGGACACAAATATTAAACGTTCGTAAAGAGCTTCCTGAATCCTCGATAGTAACATATTGCTGCCCTTTAGTCAAATAACTTCGAATAATGTCATTTGCTACACCTCGTATTCCATAGTATTCTATTTTTTGCAAAAAAAGACAATTGACACCGTCTTCAACCAGAGGTTGTACAGACTGAATACTTAACACTAGACAACGGACAACACACAACACTCAGTAGACCAGTAGGGAAATTTGCGGTTTGCGAAAAGTCCCACCGGCTGGAGCGGGAATCGAACCCTCGATTCGTGGCACTTACAATACGCCTGAACGACGGATGACGCCGCTAACCGCACGACCACGAAGCCCACCGAGAATGCTTTGGTTCAAAGTATCGAACGCCTTTTTAATGTCAATAACGAGGCCACAAACAACGCATTTACTGTCAATTTTACTACACAGGAGCTCAACAAGTTCTACTATGGTTGTAGAAGTGCTACATCCCTTTCTTAAACCGTATTGAAGTTTGTAAAGAATATCATATTGATTCACAAAATTATCTAATCTATTAATCAACCATTTTTCAAAAATTTTGCTAAATCAGAAAGAGTAATATGGGAGTTACCTTTGCTATTTTGAGGCTCTCAGGATATGTACCTTGTTCTATTATTTGATTAAAAAGGTGAACAAGAATGTCTGAAAACTGCTTTTTTTGACATTGAGCTCGTTTGTAATTCCCGTCAATTCATTCACATTTGCAGGTCTCAGAAAGACCAATCGTTCCAATCGAGTAACGTTGTTCAAAGGATTTTGATTATTTTTCGGTATTTTATCACCAAGGTTGGTTCCAATTTAAGAAAAAAAAAATTGAAAATTTCACAAACTTCTGAATTTTTAGATGTTTTCGATCCAATACGGTTTTATACTAAACGACAACATTGTTCGTTGATAAATTTATGGGAATATTCATATCACCAAGAAAGAAACAAGGTCGCGTGTTTTTAACCGAAAATATGTTTTCAACTTCATCATTGAACCGGTTAAAATCAAAAGATGGCGGTCTGTATAAACCGACCACTTCGTAATAAAATACATTTCTCTTAATTTGTAGGTGTAGAAGATGAAATCCGTCAGTCTCAACGTCTTTCAACACATTTAAACTCAATCCATCTTTTACATAAATAGCGAGACCACCAGAAGACGTGTCAATACAAGAAAAGACAGAGATATATCCTAATATTTTGTATTAAACACAATTATTTGATTTTGGCCACGTTTCACCAACAACTAATACATCAATTGGGATTTTAATACTATCTTAAAATAGAGGAATAGTATCAAACTTTTGCAAACTATTCATATCTCTAATGTTCCATTGAGCAATTCGGAAATGGCCATCAATGCTTTCAGTATAATTTGAATTGAAATCACTTAGATAATCATGATAAACATTTTTTGATTTGACCATAAAATACGTAAGCATTCAAAAAAAAAAAAAAAAAACAAAAATACAAATTTAAAATGTTTATATTACTTGCTACTACAATTGATATCGCGCTTGCTTTTGGGGGAAAGAGATGATAATTTATTACCGTAACGATTAATAAGCTCATACAATTCATCGCGTGTTTTGATCATTTACGGCTTACAGTGATCCTTTTTTTTTACTAAAACGTTTCCGCCTGTACTTACCCAAACGTACTTGATGTTGAGTTTTTCTTGGTACTCTCGCATTTCATTCAGCAGCTCTAACGACAGCGGAGTTAATTCGTCACGCATTGCAATTGCAGTCGGTTTACCATTAATCAGGTAGTTTTCATTAACTGAAGAAGAGATAAGTTTCCCAAACTCCTTCTTTTTCGCAAAAAAAAATTCTCCTAAACATCATTGTCCTTGAAAGTTACACGAATAGCACTCAAATAAATCTTAGTTTTATTTTTCCCACTGATCCTAACAGCTGGCATAATCGAATCAGTGTCAATGCTCAAACCATAGCTAGTGATAGCAATTCGAACAATTTTTACAGTTTCTTCATTAGGAATGAAAGGAACTCCAAAGAACTACAGCGTTGTTACAATTCGCTTAACGAGCAGTTTTATCAACGTTCTGTAAATCTATTTAAACAGCGATTCATTTCATTAATCTACAGGGGTGGAATAATGCGTGGACATACCATACCAAACGCTCCGAGCTATATAAGAGTGAATTGAACAATAATATGTAATGTAATGAATGATTCATATAATATAGTGCAATGGTAAGAACTCACAAACTGCCTCCAATGTTAGCCAAATTCCTAATTTATAGATGAAAATGGAATGATCGCATCATAACTGGTCAACTTTTCCGAGCACAGAAAAAATTCTATGAAATTTCACAAAAGAAGACCTCCTTCGGTCGCTTAATTGTTTTTTTTTTTCGTAACTACCATTTGATGGACCATGTGGACCCTAATGGGGATATCTGAAATAAAACTTAATTTTTCAAACTTTTTTCAGAATTTAACTCTAACTAACGGAAAAATCAGCACTTTATTCAATTGATGAAAAAACAAACGCGGAGCGAAAGCTCCCAAATTATATAAAATAAAACGGTATCACCAAAACGGATGGTTTGCATGTCTGATCCACTTCGCAAACTATTTCATCGCTTCTCTTTTTTCTATCAGCCGCTCACTTCCTTGATGATAAGATTCTTTCTGCTTCTATTCAAGTCACCTTTCAACTTGGCAACGACCACAATTCCTTTTCTAGCCCAATCTTTCACAGTTGTATTGGTAGCACTTCGCCACTCGGCAGACACTCCACCGATAACGCACCCACGCAGTACTGTACACCATCCATCGTAGTCATGATCAGTCTGGTCAGCTTCCCGGGAAAACCGTTCTCGTCCATAATCTTCCATAGCTTTTCACGGTCAATAGTATCATAAGCGGCGTTGAAATCGATGAATAGGTGGTGTGAAGGGACTTGATATTCACGACACTTTTTTGGAGGATTTGCCGCAACGTAAAGTGTTGGTGCACGAGACGCAGACGTAGATGTCACGGTTCTTTAAGCGAATCCATTTATTATGCGAATGCTTTAAAGCTAAAATATATAACACGATTGTAATTTACAGAATACCGATAGTTATGCCCTAGGAATACTCACAATTCTGTGACTCTAGTCGCAATACCCCCAATATAAGTCAAACATTAGAGTTAACGTTTACTTACTGTCTGTCCGTATTAGAATTAAGATTATCATAATTTTTAGTTCATTTAGTGGAATGTTTGCATGAATCTAACCTATAAGTATAATTCAAGTAGAGTAAGTAATTCACCGGTATTTTTCTATAATATTTTGCATGAAAAAC